TTAAAAAAAACCCAAACTTGCCATAAATCTTTTCTAGATGATGGTGTAAAAAGACACTATTAGATTTGTTTAAACCTGTTATAGGACTGATGATACAAAGATGGGTTTGTTCTTCTGGTTAAATGTATAGTCTCAAGATTTTACTGTAGTTTACAGAGGTCATTAATTTAAGTGTGTGAAATCTCGGATTATAGTAATAGAAATCAGGATACTGCGCTCTGGCATAGATGTAAAGGCTTGTTTTAACTGACAAGTTTGAGTGTTCAGCTTGTGGTTTTGTTTGCAATCTCCTGGTAAAGACAACTGAAACAATCAATTTCTCTGATTGTTGTGTTTACAGCAGTGTACTTAGAATCTGAAATCTGAAACGTATCACTTCACAGAAGATTTGGGGGTATGAATATTTTAATCTTTACATCACTTAAATACCACTTAAATACCATTTAGAAAGCTCTGCTACATAATGGAGGCATTAAATTCTAAATTTCTTGAGAGGAATCTTGATGAAAATTCATTGGGCTTATATTTGCAATATCAAAAATAAACAGCCATCTTTGTGGAGTAACAGAGAGCAGGTTTTAGAAGTGTATGCTGCTGGTTCCTCTAAGGAACCATTCCATTTTTTCTAGCATGTAGAATGTGACTAGCTTCTGAAGACGTAACATCTTTAGTTAATTTATAATGGAAAGTTAAGTAAATTCATCTTAATCTTTCTTTCTTAAAAAGGTGTTAAATGAGGGGGTGGGGTTTTTAAGGTTGGTTTTCCTGGATAACTGCTTTAAACAAGCTAATTAACAAGTAAGGTAAGGTATTTGGCCAGATTCAGTTCTCATTTATATCGAGGGAGGGAGGTGGAAATCTGGAGCAGCAATGTTAATTTGATGTGACTCTCATCATGGAGTTACTCCAGATTTATTACTGATATAATAGAGTAGTAGTAGTAGCTGAGCCTTTGCATCTCCAGGTTGAAACTTTGAGAGCTGGTATTTGATTTCCTAATTTCACACTGCAGAGTCACTGAGGATCTCTGTGTATGTATTACTTTACTGATTCCTCATCCCCTTCACCACTTCATATGTTCTCTCAAGAACAGAAAGAGAGACAACTTACACGAAGATCTTTGGGAGAGCTTTTCCATCTTGACTTTTTAGATTCCAAAGCCAGAAGGTGCCACTGTGATAATCTAGTCTGACCTCCTGTAACGTACAGGTCATAGAACTTTCCCAAAATAATTTCTAGAGCATATCTTTTAGAAGAAACATCCAATCTGGATTTAAAAATTGTCGGTGATGGAGACTCTACCATGACCCTTGGTAAATTGTTGCAGTTAATTACCCTACCTTAAAAATGTAGGCCTTATTTCTGGTCATCTGAATTTAGCTTTCAGCCATTGGATATGTTATACCTTTTTCTATTAGAATTAAGAGCCCATTATTAAATATTTGTTCCCAGTGTACGTATTTACATAATCATGTCGCCCCTTAACCTTCTCTTTGTTAAGATGAACATACTCAAGGAGCTCAATCTATCACTATAAGGCATGCTTTCTAATTCTTTTATCATTCTCATGGCTCTTCTCTGAACACTCTCCAATTATCCTTCTTGAACTGTGGACACCAGAACTGGGCACAGTATTTCAGCAGTGGTTGCACCCATGCCAAATACAGAGGTAAAATAACTTCTCTACTCTTACTTGAGATTCCCATGTTTATATATCCAAGGATTGCATTCGCCCTTTTGGCTGCAGTATTGCGCTGGGAGCTCATCTTCAACTGTTATCCACCACGACCCCCAAATCTTTTTCAGTCACTGCGTCCCAGGATAGAATCCCCTATCCTGTAAGCATGGCCTGTATTCTTTGTTCCTAAATGTATACATTTACATTTAGCCATATTAAAGTGCATATTGTTTGGTTGCGCCCAGTTTTCCAAGTGATCCAGATCCCTCTGTCGGTGACCTGTCCTTTTTGTTATTTACTGCTCCCTTAATTTGTGTGCTATCTGCAAACTTTACCAGTGATGATTTTATGTTTTCTTCCAGGTCACTAATAAAAATGTGAAATAGCATAGGGCCAAGAACTGATACCTGTAGGACCCTACTAGAAACATACCTGCTCTGTGATGATTACCTTGTTTACAATTACATTTTAAGACCTATCAGCACATATTAAATGGATTAAAAACTGGCTATGTTAATTTTATATTGTTCCACTGTTTTAATCAAAATGTCATGCGCGTCCATGTCAAATGGCTTACATAAATCTAAGTCTATTACATCAACACTATTCCTTTATCAAACAAACTTTCTATCTCATAAAAAAGATTGACAGGATCTATTTTCCATAAACCCATGTTGATTGGCATTAATTATATTACCCTCCTTTTAATTCTTTACTAATCTAGTACCATATCAGCCACTCCGTTATCTTGGCCTGGGATTAATGTCAGACTCACAGGCCTATAATTACTTGGGGTGTAAATGCAGCATATACGTATATGGTGCTATACGAGTAATAAACTCTGGACTCTCATTTTGTTGGTAAGTAAGGAGGAATCTATTCAAACAAAATTTTTATAAAAATATTCTTAAGTGGTTTGGCTTGTTCCCTGGATCTTCCCTTCATGCAACAAAGGGTGTTGGGGAGTACTACCCCCTCAAGTCTTTGGAAAATCCACACACCAAGGACAAGTAGGAAACTCTACAACTGATGCTACTGTGCAGGAAAATCTAAGTTTTCTTATTTATAGAAGTAAATTGCTAGCCCTTAAAGTTACAGAGATTTCCTCTGTTTGCATTTGGTAAACTTCATAATTTAATTTAAGTTTGAGATATGCTATTTACTCTCCAAAACCTAGCCATTCAGTTGCTAAGGTTGTTCTGTGACGTGTCCTAGTGTTAGGGTATAGGACGCTGTCCGCCCTCATTTGTAAACTTCCTAATCTTGTAGCACAATTTAAAATGCCCTTTTATGTAAAAATCCATTAAAACTATCCGTTTCCTCCACTGAAATACCATGCATATTAAACATCAAAACTTCATTATTAAAATTTTTTAAAGGAAGGGAAACTGGCATGTTGCCTTAAAGATGGTTAATCAATTACTTCTGTTGAATAAATAGTTTTGGCCTTGGGCCAATGTTCTAAGGTAATGGAGTAACTATAATAGATTGCACTATGACACTTGGGTTAGGCAAACTTCCACTATTTGAATAACGAGGTAGCTGTGGCACAATGACTAACTAGACAACTAAGAAAAGATAAGTTCATTTAATGGAAAGCAAGCTCCTTCCTAGCTGTAAATGGCAGAACTCCTCTAATGTAAGAGTTTCCTTCTAGTCTACCATCTCGTTGTATTGGTCAGGAATATCAATTGTGCAATACAGTTTTTTTTCCTCTGTGCTCAACCAGAACATGAACTTCTTGTTCTCGTGTAATGTTGTCTTCCATTTTTTCCCCCTCTTCCTCCAGCATACCCAAAGTGAACACGAAGTCCTCAAATTTATTTAGTCCATGTCTTGTTATAAATCAGATGCATTTCTGCTACATTCCAACCAGAATTTGAAGTAATTTCTGTGTCATTGTGCTGGAAGTTTTTGAAGCATTCAGATTTTTTTTTTCAAATGCCATAAATAATCCGTGTAATGTTTTAAAAGCATCCTTCAAAAGAAAAAATGTAGAAAAACATTCTATAGCCTTATTCTATTAGATCAGTGTTTCCCAAACTTGGGACGCCGCTTGTGTAGGGAAAGCCCCTGGCGGGCCGGACCTGCGGACACGGCAGGTACACAAACCGGCCCAGCCTGTCGGGGCTTTCCCTGCACAAGTGGCGTCCCAAGTTTGGGAAACACTGAATTAGTTGTTTTAATCGTTCTGGATTAATCTATGTCACTTTAACAATACCTTCCCATTTGTGTGTGTGTGTGTGTAGGCATTCTCTAATGATGTTACAACTGAGTTTTTTTTATAAGGCCTAATTTTGTATACATACCAACCCACCCCAGAATCTAGAAAAGTCATATCGCCTTTAAAATTGAAAGTTTCTTTCTGAAAACAAGAGAGAACTTTTTCTGCAAAATTTGAAGTGAATTGGCTGAGAATACTCTGAAAATAGAAGGGTTAGAAGCATTTTGGAACTTTTGCTGCAAGGTGGAAAAAAATTAACAGACCTAGTACCGAGAACCAACATTAATCTGATTAGACTCTTGCAAAGAATTTTTAAAACTTAGCCTGCTCTGCTTGTTTGCTTTGGTGATCGTAGTACAGAACATCAAGAGGCTGCAGCCAAGAGTAAGCTGCTTTTAAGAGGAAGAAAAAGTCAAACCACAGAGAGAGACTTGACTTGATTGGTAGGCAGGCTCGCTATTGGGGTGGGTGGGTTGGACTTGTATATAAAAGCTTCACAAAGGTTCTCTTGCTGACCTCGGGTGGACCACTGCAAGTCGGGGGATGCAGTCCTGATCCTCTACCTACTCCTTACCTCTGTTCGTACCCAGCCCACTTTCCCTGTGGGCTGGAAGAGGGAAGTGATGAGGAGTATCTGCATTTGAATAAAGCTTAAACTTTCCTTGACACTTTTGTCTATTAAATAACCTCTCCTCTTGGAAAATGTGTTTTATTTTTTAACAAACTGTATTGTATGTGGTGTTATAAGCTGTCTAGGGTAGGAACCTTATCTTCCTACATGTCTGTAATACGCTGGGCACTCTAGTGATGCCTCACAAATAAATTTGGGTATTGAAGATTAACTTCTTAAATTTGAGAAGGGGGGTGGAGTTTGGGGTGGGGTGAGTAACTTCCTAACACACGAAAGTTGAGAACTTTGGCAAGGAGTTGTAGTTCAGAGTTCAGCCTTTCTATTACATGATATATTTTCCTGTTCCTTTAGAAATCCCTTTTTAGCAGTGGGGAAGAGTAACAAGAGCTACAAAAAGATGTTAGTTTATTTCAGTCACCTCTGACAAATTTACTTGAATACCTTCTAAAATTGCTGCTTCCTTACAGATTCAGCCCTATGAGAAGATAAGGGCCAGGGGGTTGCCTGTTAACATCACCTCAGTCTTGAACAAACTGGTTGTAGTGAAACTAAATGGTGGCTTGGGCACTAGCATGGGCTGTAAAGGCCCAAAAAGTCTTATCGGCGTGCGGAATGAAAACACCTTCTTGGACCTGACAGTTCAGCAGATTGAGGTAAGAAACTTTTGATCTGCTCTGAAAGCCATTGTGGGAACAACATACTTTGTGAATCCGAGCGTAGGCTAAAACTCCTATTGAAATTCTTGCTAATTTAGAAACACTTCCACTGACTAATCTGATTCGATTAAAAATTGAAACTGGGCCATCTGAGGGGTACTGCTCTGACCTACTAGGTAGGAAACTGGAATCCAATCCCTGTTCTGTTCTCTGTCACTAGCGATTGGGAGTGCTGAGAGTTATTGCACTGGGACGGGATTGTGAGCACTACTTAGTAGTGATGCACACGGCCACTCCCACCATGGCTGAGTAAGTAGCAGCATTAACAGAGATGGTAGGGAATCCCATATGGTCCTTAGATTGTGACTATGATGGAAGCTTCCCAAAAGAAGATAGGCAGGGCAATGGAAGACCCCCAACACGCTGGGATGCAGGGAATTGCACTGAAAAGAGGATAAAAATAAAGTATCGCATATGTTATGTGGATGGAATGGGTGGAGAACCTTGAATAATTGAATTACACCAGCATTTCTCAAACTGGGGTCTGCAGACCCCACTGATCAACTCCTTCCCCTTCCTCCCTCAACTTCTCTGCCTCCTTCTATCTCCTGAAGGCTACTGAAGCCAAACCGGGAGATTTTAGGTGCTAAAAGTCTGGCGGCGCAGTGGAGCTAAGGTTCCCTGCCTGCCCTGGCTCTGCGCCGCTCCTGGAACTCCCATCCACACCCAGACGCTCTCCCTGTGCCTGCACCCAAACTCCCTCCCAGAGCTTGGACCCCCTTCTGCATCCCAACCCTCTGCCCCAGCCTGGTGAAAGTGAGTGAGGGTAGGGGGAGTGAGTGGGGGAAGGGGTGGCCTGGGGGTGGGGCCTGGGGTGGACTGGGGATGGGGCTTGGGGCTGAGCGGTGGTGTTGGGGCTCCCCCAAAATTTTAAAATCAAAATGGGGGTCCTTGGGTTGCTAAAGTTTGAGAACTGCTGGTTCACACCATTCTGGACATGGTTAAATCAGCATGCATGCTAACCCAGACAGTGCTTGTACTTCTAAAGTACCATGGATCAAACTGCAGAGTTTAGCAGGGCCTTAAGCAGCAAAATCCCCGGTACACGTTTGATTTCTCCTCTTCCCCCCCCCCTCCTCCCCCCCTGGATCTTAGTCCCAAGAGTAGCTTTTAAAGCTTTGTTTTCTCTAAGTTTAACCCTCCCTCTTGCCACACCAAATGTTTTTAGCTTCACTCCAAGTATACTCTCTTCTCAGTAAAATCCAGATTTTAGAAGTGATTGGCATTTATTCCTCCGAAAAGCAGGTTTTGGGAGGGCATTTTGGCTGTTATAGATTTACCTCTTTACATTTACAATGCTACTTAGTTCTTCTTACAGGAGATAAGTAAGATGGCCATGAAAGAGTAGGATATTGGCTTGCCCTAGTTTCCTCACGCAGTTCTTTCTAGTTTTAGATGCTTACCAAAGTATTTTAGTTTGGAGTACATATATTGGTGTGTCTGGTGGTACTTTCCCCAAGAGCTAGGAAGGTGAGCTGCAGTCCCAGACAAAGATTTAGTCTTGTGCCCAGTTCTTGCATTCAGTGTGATATCCAAGAGGATGCTTTGGGTGTTCTCTTTTGAGAGTCTTTGTTGAGATGGAGGTTAATGTGCCCACTTTTTGGTCTCCTCCCCCCCCCCCCCAACCACACACACCAACACACACACCAACACACACACCAACACACACACACTTGGAAACTTAAGTTCTTAATAGCTGCTCCATTGCTGACATGAAAGCTGCACTTAACAGAAGTTCTTGGAGATCCATGGCAAGAAGCATATTACAAAACTTGTCTTTTAATCACTTTTAAGATTATTTTAATAGATCCTAACACACAGAGTAGGGTTAAAGACACTGAGAATGTGCCCACACCTTTTTGAATGTATCGGCAATTAAAAATTACACAAGTGAGTGCCTCAAACCATATCTGGAGTGAATATTCTTCTTTCCAGAACAGTCCCAATGAAGTTGATTTGATTCACTCCTTATTGCAGTAGAATAATGCCCATTATCACCCTTCATATAGTTAAGGGAGTGGCCACTTCATTTTGGGTTCTGAATTTTTTAATACTTTATACTGTGTGCTCTATGTTAGACAATCATTAAGGATATGATTTGGTCACGGAGGCCACAGATTCCGTGACTTTAACAGACATCTGTGGCTTCAGCCCCGGGTAGCAGGGCTCCGGCTGCCAGGCCCCCCCCATGCAAGGCTCTGGCTTCCGTGACTTATGGTTTATTGCCTGCAGCCTGCCCATGAATCTTAATAAAAATCCCTGTGCTAAAATCTTAACCTTAACTATTCGCCATAGATAGAAAGTTGGACTCTCTGTATGCGCGCCCCCTCATGGCTGGACATGGTGTAGCAGCTCTTCCTGTCTAGTACCCCCTGCCGATGGTCATGCCAGTCACGAGGTGGTCTGCCTCTTCTTGCAACTCAGCCCTCTGTCCAGGTCATGGTTGAGTTACCACCCCCACCCCCCTCAGGTGGAACAAGTCCACATGAAACCACACCCAAAGTTCCAGTTTCTTCCTCCCCTCTGTTTGGGAGTTTCTAAAACAGGGTCCTCATGTGGGATCTTCAGCGTAGACCACGCAAAGAAAACACAGCTCAAGTACTTCTAATCCCACTTGACTGCCATATTGAGAACCTCTCCTTCTCAATCTCAGCTCCATATTGAACCCTCTTTTGGGCCCACAACAGTGAGAATCAACATCTCCTCTAGCCTTCAGCTTTTCTCTCTGTACCCAGGGTTTTCCTTGCCTCTAGCGGCCTTCCCTGATATCCTTAGCTTCCTGGGCTTCCTTTTCAGGTCCCATGCCCTCCTTCCTCACGGCCTCCTGCTGGGGTTCAGCCTAATGTCTGCAGAGTTCTTTGTCATTCTCATTTCAGAATGCTGCCTCCCAGAGCTTTCTGCCTGGAATCCCCCCTCCTCATTGGCCTGCTACAGGAGCTTCTCCCTTCCTGGAACTCCTCTCCAAAGTCCCCTTAGGCTTACTATACTGCTTTTGGGCTTCTCTGCTTCAGGACCTTCTAGTCCTGGTTCCAAGTCTCTCAGTTTTCACCTATCTCACTCATTCTTGGTTCTCCTCCTGCCATTGCCCTATGTTCTCTCCTTCATAAAGACCCAGCTCCTCCCCTGCTGGGTTTATCATGTTATGCATAATACCTTCAGGTGCCAGCCAGTGGCTTAACTGGGCTCAGTCTCTGTTATAACCCATGGTTAACCAATGTGGGGATTATACATCTACTCGCACCATTTTTCAACTGTTTTTAACCAATTCCTGAATAACAAAATAATAATAATAATATGGAGATATACCTATCTCATAGAACTGGAAGGGACCTTGAAAGGTCATCGAGTCCAGTCCCCTGCCTTCACAACAGGACCAAGTACTGTCCCTGACAGATTTTTGCCCCAGATCTCTAAATGGCCCCCTCAAGGATTGAACTCACGACTCTGGCCAATGCTCAAACCACTGAGCTATCCCTCCCCCCATAACCGATACCATAACATCCTAACTGCTCTGTACTGTTGATCATGTCATCAATTTGCCAAAAAAAGCTTCAAAGCAGTTGTGGGTAGGAGATTGTCATCCATTCATAAAGAATCCTAAATACAGAGTGGAGTGTAAAAGCTTTAAATTGCCTGTTGGGATAAAATATCGTCCGGAAGGACAAATGGTTTTCTGGGTGTATGTATGTCTGAAATTCAAAGAAAGCTAAGAGTCCCTTCAACATAACCGTTTTGTGGCACATCTTGTATGCATTAGCCTATCTGATGCACTGTCCAGTTAGAACTGAAGAATTAAAAACTCAATTGTTGTGTTAGCTCTGAATGATTTGTGTGCGCGCTTGCACATTTAATTTAGACCTTCAATAACTGTTGTTGTTTCATCATAAATACTTCTGTAGCTATGAAGCTTGTCTTTAGTTAACGGTCACATTTGTCTAAATATCTTTTTAAGAGATTTTTTTCATAACCATTGTTTGACACAGTCTGCAAATAGTATCTAAAGTCTCATTGTTTAGGTGGCAGAAATAAAACCCAGTAACTCTTGCTGAATATGATCTTTTTTCTCCTCAGCATCTAAACAAAACCTACAACACAGATGTTCCTCTTGTTCTAATGAACTCCTTTAACACTGATGAGGACACAAAGAAAATCTTGCAGAAGTACAGCCACAGTCGTGTGAAAATATATACTTTTAATCAAAGCAGGTATCAGATTTTTTTTCTTCTGTTTGGGGTAAAAGAAACAAGCAAACTCTTCTGTGTTGTGCATATTAAATATTTTTGTTAGTTTTCAGACAGATTAAATATTATTGAGTATTAATAGTGACATACTTTCATGTTCTACCTCTTTAAAGGGGCCTTTTTGGAAGTTTAAAAAGTGAGAAGGCCCAAGAACAGCCAGATAAAATGAATAACTAAAAATAAATGGATGAAAGAGATCTGTGTTCCGAGATCAGACTTGCAGTGGAATGCAGGAACGTGGGATTTGAATTCTGAACTGTCTTGGCTGTGAAACCACAGGGTTGGGGCTGTCGGAAGCAGGTGTAGAGTGACTTGTAGGCTGACCACCAACGAAGTTTGCCCTAAATTGGTCATGGAAGATTCGGGAGGGTCCTGCTTTTTAAAAAGTGAATTCCTAGGTTCCAGTGACTTTATATAACATGTTCTGAACCCTTGTGGAGTAAGAAACTTGCATTACCTCTGGCTTCAAAGAGGTGATTCATTTAAGTTCATACTTAATTAAATATTAACTTGCAGTTTCTGCCCCGATATCCAAGTATGAACACACACAGTCTCCTCCAGTTTCTGTGTATCTGATTAACTGGCCTAAGAAGTAATAATTTTAAAGCCACACCAAGTCTGGAGTATCCCATGTGACTGCATTACTACTGCACTAAGGTCTGTATCAGTATTTAACATGGATGAGATCTAATAATTGTCATTTTGCAGGTATCCTAGAATTAATAAAGAGTCTCTACTGCCAATAGCCAAGGACGTATCTTATTCAGGAGAGAATACTGAGGCGTGGTATCCCCCAGGTCACGGCGATATCTACTCCAGTTTCTATAACTCTGGTCTGCTTGACACACTTATAGGAGAGGGGAAAGAGTACATTTTTGTGTCCAATATAGATAACTTGGGAGCAACTGTGGATCTTTACATTCTTAACCATCTTATGAATCCACCAAATGGAAAACGTTGTGAATTTGTCATGGAGGTCACAAATAAAACCCGGGCAGATGTTAAGGTAAAAATATGTTTGTTCAAGTCAATTCATCAACTCACTGACTTAGCAAATTTTAGTCTCATTTTCTTTTGGATCAGTAGTTTCAACCAGATGTTAAATATCACCTCAAAGATCTTTAACGCTTATATACCTGAACCCAACAGTCAGCTGTACATCTAACTTGAAAAAGAGATGTAAAGTCAGCAGGTTTTATGACATTATTTAGAGTTTTGTGGCGTGGAGTGCCATATAGCATGCTGTTTTGGTCAGTCATATGCAAGTATTAAAAAAAATATATACATCTCCTGGGCTTGAACTACTAGACAGGACAGCCTATTGTATAGGCCACATGGATTTTCAACCTGCGGGTCATGACACCCTTCCCTTCCCATATAGCAACATCTAAGGGTACATCTACACTACAGAGGGGAGTCGATTTAAGATAC